AAGTTTTTGTTGCTTCTTTCACTCTGCTGCCGCTTGCTGTAATTCACAACAGGCTGCTGAAGGCAGTGGTGGCACAAGCATTGAGGGAAAAGCGTGACTTCGAGAAGGGAGTATGGTGATCAAATTGAGGCTCAAGTGCGCAGAAGCATGCATCACAGGTTCCCCTTCCCATGCAGACACAGGCGCACATTTTCCTGCTTCACCTCTGCCATTTGTGCCATGTCACACACCCAGCCAACAGACAGACCCCCCCACGTGACCAGCTGCCACTCGTTCTCACCACCTTGGATCCATGTATCGTGATTGTGCAGATTTGTCAAAAGAACGAGTGTGTCTATTCTATTGTCTTGGGATGATATTCATGGATCATATTGGAGCAGCATCAATGACTCGTGGTTACACATGCATATCTTAAAATTGGCTCATGCTTTGGCAGGAAGGAATGCATTGCATATCGTGCTGTTGCTACGAGTACCGTACAAAGACATTGCACAGCCTGCTGCACTGTAAAACAAGCAGGCATACCATGCAGCTTTCCCTCCACCTGGTATCTTGCCCTACACATTCAACTGTCTGACTGCAAGGTACATGGCCAGAAGGTTACTTTCCAAGTTTAAACAATATGCAAGTACAGCATCACCACTCTGCCTCATCCCTCCACATTCTTCACATGCCTTGACTCCATGCCTCTCGTCAGTCCCCCTCTAGGCAGTCACCGCCAACTCTTCCCTCACCTCACCTCGCTTTCCATCATCACTCACTACCACTTTCTGCTTATCCGCCAGCGTACGTCACCATCCAAATAAAAATCCCCTCCTGGCAGCGAGAGATTTGTCAGGTTGGTCAGGGCAGACAGGTGCCGCAGCCCAGCATCCGTGACTGCTGTGCCATCTAGAGAAAGATCCTCAAGCCCTGTCAGCTTCCCCACATGCACCATGCCGGCATCTGTCACACTTGTGCACTTGATAAGGACCAGCGCATTCAGAGAGGACAGAGCTGTCAAGTGTGCCAGGCCAGCATTGGTCAGCTTGGCATTATTGAGATACAGGTACTTGAGACTGGTCAAGCACCAAATGCCTTCCAAGGCATTGTCTGTTATATATTTTGCGCAAAAGAGGTCTAGCATCTCCACCTGTGGCAGCCTGTAGAGGTGCTTGATGCCCTCTGCACTGAAACCTGAGCTATGCTGCAATAAAACTCCCCTCAGATGTGCCATTGTGGACACATGCCCGAGGATGTCGTCTGAGAGGCGGTGGCAATGCCTCAGGTCTATACTGAAATATTTTGATGCTGTCTTTATTGCCTGGAAGAAATGGGTTGAGAGGGAAAATTTGACAGAACAAGGGGTGAATATATGGCGATAAGACAGAACTAGCAAGCAGTGAATGCCAAGTGGAACAAGGCATGCCTGTGCAACAACGCACTCAGCACTCACCTCCAATGCTTTCTTCCGATCACCTTCACTCTGCCTAGTTTCCAGCTCAACATTCAACTTCAAATCTTGTATCCTCTGCCCTTCATTACAGGCTGCCGATTCCTCCGTGGCATGTGGCCAATTCACCTCCTGCACCTCCCTCCTCCTCTCCTTCGCTGTCTCTTCTTTCCTTCTCTTTCTACTATTCCCTCTTAGCTCTATTTCATCCGATGCCCTGCTGAACTCAGCCGGTTGCTCTGCTCTTGAGTCCATGAGTTCCGCCAACTGCCCCTTCACCGCTTTCAACTCCCCCTTAACCGCTGCCAACCCCCCCTTCACTGCTTTCAACATATGCCGCAACTCATCCAACTCCTCGTTGTGCCCAGTCAGCTCCTCCCTCACTGCTGCCAGTGCCGCCTCTTTGACCACTTCAATCAGTGGCCCCATCGCCCTCTCGGCAGCCATAGCATCCAGTGGACTCTCCTTCAACAGCCCTGCTTCAATCACCGATCCTGGCAATCAACCACCTCCTTCACTGCAGACTGTCGAAAGTAGACAACACCTGGGTGGGGTGAGGGGTAAGGTCGGGTGCAAAGAGGAAGTTGGTTGTGAATGCACACACAATGGGAAAACACTCGTGTGGGACGAGGCACAAAACGATGGACCACTCAGTGAGAGACGAAGCTTGTGCACACACATGCAGTTGACACGAGATTAGACTTCAGTGGAATAAGGGGAGGCCAGGGGGAGGAGCAGAGGAGACAAGATATCAGGGAGGGGCAAGAAATGTGGGTGGGTACTGCCAAGCTGGGACATGGGAAATAGTTGCAACAATGGGGAAACGAATGCACAGAGCGAAGGGTGGAGACCAGCAGAGAGCAGGGAAGACTGCAGGTTAATGTATGTGGAGCACAGTCGGCTGGCACACAGAGGGTTGGTACGCTAGTGGTGTGGCGCAGGTGTGAGCTGAACGATTAGGGCAGCAACAATGTCATAGGTAGAACGGTAGTAAGAGTGACGGTTATTGGAAAGGCAACTGTTGGGCAGGAAACTGGTAGAGAAATATAGTGTGGCCTGCCAACTCTTCGCCTTACCACAGTCAGGAAGGCGAGAGAAGCCGGAGCGAGCACACACCTAGGGTAGTGAGTGAATGCCATAGTAGGAATGAATGAGCAGCTCGTTGAGCCGAGACAGACGATCCCTGAAATCGACTTGCAACGGGGCTTGGACCCACCTCGTTTTCAGAGAGCTGGTCAGCTTGGACCAGAGCGACTCAGGTCGCGCTGGGTTTCTACGACACACTTTCCAAGTCAGATCCAATGCATTCAAGATCTACAATTCTCATACCTCCTCCATTGGGGGAGGTCGGCAAGGAGTGCGAGACATGCAAAATCCCCCGAGCTAGTTGACGACTACACTTGGGGGAGGTTGAGATGAGGTGGCTCGCACGCGAGTCGCAAGGCTGGGGCGAGCCTGGCAGTTTGCCGAGAGCCAGTGGATGTATTTGTTCTATGGCTGACCTAGAGACTCTGAACTGGCTTCAGACAATGAGATAGCAAAAACCATCTCGCTCGTTGGTGGTTAGTGGCTAGGCCTTTCAGAAGTAACCCAACAACAGAATTAGTCATTCACTAACTAGGCAAGTCACAAGCTAGGTCACAAACATGCTGCGCCATTCACACCTAGTTCACTCAGAAGCTAGGTCGGTCACAAACTAAGACACTCACTAGTCTGTTCAGTCAGAAGTACAGCGTCTAGGTCACTCGCAGGCTGAGACACTCCCAGGCTGAGACACGAATTCGTGTCAAAATTCGCGTCTGACACACAAAAACATGTCAGAATCGAGATCTGACACATACAGCATGTGAGAATTCGAAAAAAAGCCTATAAAAGCTGACGCGCAATAACATTTACGACTACAGTTTATAAAAGGGGGGTATTGTAATGTTTAGGGGCAAAAGGGGGGTCCTCCCATTCTGATACCAAATAGTCCCAGTACCCTATAGAGAGTCCCGGGGGACCCTTTTACCGGTGGGTCTTATAGCCGGAATAATACGGTACTAGTGTTTTAGTTAGATATTGGAATCTATTGCTGATGGTGTACATTTTTGTATTGCTTAGCCTCTTGCCTTTCCTATACCTTGTGGGAGAAGGGAGGTAGAAGGAGAGGGAGAATTGGGGGGGGGGGGGGGGGGGGGGGGGGGGGGAGTGGAGGGGGGAAGGTAGTGAGGCGGGGGAGGGAGGAAGATGAGGAATATGGTAAAGTGGGTGAGGTGGGCTCGCCAACGCTGCGGCTCAACACCACCCCCTCAATCCCACCACCCGTCAACCCCCTTTGGTGCAGCAATGGAGAGCAGCAGCGTGACCTCCTTGACACTCGTGGCGAGGCACACGGACACTGGCTCTCCATTTTGGTCCGGTCGGAGCTGATTCAGGTGCATGTGATGAGAGCGGATGGGCAGGGAAAGAGGCGGGAACGAGGAGGGGAGGGGGAGGGTATGGGGATGGGAAAGGGGGGAAGAGGGGAGCGGAAATGGGGGAGAAAGGGAAGGGAAGGGAGGGGAAGTGGAGGGGAAGTGGAGAAAAAAGCGAGGTGAGGGCGAGGGGAAGGGGAGGGAAAGGAGAGGGGAATGGGGAGTGGAACGGGAGGGGAAGGGGAGTGGAATTGTTGGGGAAGGGGAGGCCAAGGAATTAGGGAGTAGAGGGAAAGGAGAGAGAATGGGGAGGGAACGGGAACGGAGGAATGAGAAAAACGGGGTTGTTGGCTGGGGTATAAAATGAAAGGAAGGTACATCCCACTCAGCCATGCACTGGTGCCATCTGCCCAGCCCTAATTGCCATGCAAAACCTTGCAGCGCAATCCAAGAACACGAATTACACACCATGCACGCACCATGCACGCACCATGCATCCACACACCATGCACACACCATGCACGCACATTCCATGCACATACCCATGCGCAGATAGCACATAACCATCCACCCACCCACCCTCTTCACCATGCTCATCCGCGCACATAGTACCCACCCATCCACCCATCCACCCACCCCGTTCACCATGCATGGGAATGCGGGATGCGTCTCTTGCTGCTGCTGCTGCTGCCGCTGCCTCCTTGGCTCGCCTCATCTGCTCTTCCTGCCTCGGCGTCTCTGAAAGCTGTGCCAAGTGCATATGACCATGCTGTTGGTGCCCACACACATGAGCTGTTAAGTGAAGGGGCAGTTCCGGGTGGGGAAGGGGACGGGAAAACACATGAGGGAGGTTGCTTGCGGCTACTCTTCCTGCCTCAGTGGCTCTGGGAGGTCGTCCACCAACACACTATCAGTGCCAGAGGAGGGCAGGAGCTGCTTGAGAACTGTCCAGGGGGCTACATGCGGGTGGAAGGGAGTGCAGAGAAGAAGGATGCCGGACCGGCCCAGGCCCAGCCCAGGTCGGGCCGTGCCCGGCTGCCCAAAATAGCGGGCCAGGCCCAGCCCGGCCCGGCCCGGGCCGAGCCTGGCCTGCCCCAAGCGGAATGAGCTAGACTTCGGCTCGGGTTCGCCCAGGGGGTACCCAGGCCGAAAAGGGCCCGGGCGGGCTGAGTATGGCGGCCCGGCCCGGGTGCAATTCCGTTATAGATACATTGTTCTTTGGGCTTGTTTTGAAGAGGCAAACAAGTCTAGGGCCTGACCCGGGCTGGGCTGGCCCGCCCCTAAAAGGGCGGGCCAAAAGCGGGTTGACGACGGCTCGGCGGGCCAGGACTGCGGAAGGCAAAGGCAGAGGAGGTGGCGGGAAGAAGGGGGAGAGGAGCAGCAATGGAGGTGGCGTGGGAGCAAGGAGCGATGGTGCCAGGGAGACCTGCAGAGGGGTCTTTCAGCTCAACTGCCGCTCACACTGCTGCTGTTGCTTGCTACTTCTGTTCCCTACCAGCCCTGTGTCCATCCATACAGTCACTTGTTTTCTCATGCCACTCATGCCACGGTGCCACCACTGCTGCAGCAGGAGCAGTAGCCGTGACATTCTCAGGTGGGGAAGGTGGGTGAAAGTCATGCAGCAGCCTCTGCAGAAGCAGCAGCAGGAGGATTAGGAGCACACGCCTCCTTGATTCGTACCTGCCCTGCCTGCCCCCGTTGCTGCCCCACCTGCTGCAGCATGCACCTTCGTCGGGCTCTCATCAGCTCCGGTCGCACCGATTGCGCCTCTCCCTGCTGCACTCCAGCTCTGCAACCAGCCGAAGTCGCTGCTGAGAGGTATTCTTATGTGGGATGGGCGTGGTGATAGTCGGGAGGGCGACTGTGGGGACCGGGTGTCGCTGCTGCTGATGCTGCTCCCTTGAGGTGCCCTTGCGACCCTTCCAAGCTCTCCCATCCCTCGTTCATCCTTTGTGGTTCCTCTCCCCCACAAACCTGCCATGGCGCAGCAGAACATGGCACATTGATGAACACCTGCACGTCGGCACGGAGGGGAAGTGTAACAGGACAAAGGTTGGAGAGGCAAGCCGTCACATACTCAATTGCACACACACAGGGTGCAAGCGGTCACATGGTCAATCAGTGCAAAACACCCGATACTGATCGCATCAACATCGGCCGACAAGGAGACTCGTTCCGATTCGATTACACTCGCTCAACTAGACTCACCCTCGTTGTCGCCGAACAACCAAAGGGCGATATCAATCGTATCGGCCTAGATAGCACGTCTTCCTTCGTCTGCCATTTCAGAAAGCTACTGGAAAGCTCCGACTTCCCTCTTTCTCTCCGATAGCCTCTCTTGCACCCCCTCCCAAACCCCCCCACTTCCCCCCACTCACCCCATGCAGGCCAAGCTGCACATCCTCCTGAGTGCAGCATCACCGGTCTCCGCCTGGTCGCCCTGCTCTCATCTGTATCCACCATCCCCCAGCACGGGCTCGATCACCTGCATAGCTCCCCCATGCACCCTCATGAACGGCCAGATTGGCCAGCCAGCTAACTCCCCACACCCTCCTACTTCTCATTTAACCCCCGTCTACTTCCACCAAGCGGAAAACCAGAACCCCTCCGCCTTCTCCCAGCTCCCGCCTCTACTCCACTTCCCACTCCCCCCCTCTGATCCTATCTGTCTCGACCTCCCTAACCCCTCTCGGGACTCGTCCCTCTCAATCCCCTCACCCCCTCCTCTCACCCCCTCTTTTCCCCCTTTCTCCCCCCCCCTCCCCCCCCCCCCTTCCTCGTCCCCCCTCCTCTCCCCCATCCATTCCCCACCTCCTCGTCCCCCTTCCTCTCCCCCCTCCTTTCCCCCTCACCTCCCTCTCCCCTGTCCCTCTCCCCTGTCCCTCTCCCCTGTCCCTCTCCCCCGTCCCTCTCCCCTGTCCCTCTCCCCTGTCCCTCTCCCCCGTCCCTCTCCCCTGTCCCTCTCCCCCGTCCCTCTCCCCTGTCCCTCTCCCCCGTCCCTCTCCCCTGTCCCTCTCCCCTGTCCCTCTCCCCCGTCCCTCTCCCCTGTCCCTCTCCCCCGTCCCTCGCCCCTGTCCCTCTCCCCTGTCCCTCTCCCCTGTCCCTCTCCCCCGTCCCTCTCCCCTGTCCCTCTCCCCCGTCCCTCTCCCCTGTCCCTCTCCCCCGTCGTCCCATGCTCACCCCTCCCCCCCCCCCCCAACCTCACAGAAACAACACATGCACTCCACACCACTCCACATGTCTGCATACCTCAGCACTCCACTGCCACTTGCCACACCGCGCCAAAAGAGAGGTCCTGAAGGGATGGAACGAATGAAGGTACCAACCAAGGAAGGACTGGCAGGCAGGAGAGAGGCACGGAATGGAGGGAAGGTGATGAGGAAGGTGACTTTTGAGGCGCCTTAAAAGGGAAGGGTGGTGAGGAAGGTGCACGGAAAGGAGTGGAACTTGGAAGGGCCAGAAGAAAGAGTGTGGGGAGAAGACAACTCTCCCACCAGCACCGTCAAATGATGATGCCGCTCGCCATTCAATTCGCTGCTCGTGCCAGCTCCGACGCCTGTGATGCTCGCCTCGCCGCCGCCACTCGCCTCTCACAATCCACGCGGCGCTACGACTTCCTCGGCTTTAGTCACTGCCGCCAATAGGAAGCCGCATTAAGGATGACGAACAGCAGTATTGGCGAATTACGTCCTCAGCTCATACGGAATCCAAACGACAAAGCAAGATAGGCGTTCCTCTTGAGACTGTGCTTTGAGATTACATCACAGCGCGGTTACAAAAAGAAGGACTCAGTAAGGAATGGCGTTTCCTTGGGTGCAAGGAATGGGCAGGGGGCTGCGGGAGGAGAGCGGGAGAAAATAATATCTGCCGTTTCTCTCTCGAATGCCTCCTGTCAATCGTGCATTCGCGCTTCTCGCAATGTTGGCGGCGGCGTCACACAGGGGGGATGTGCGATAGTAAGAGGGTAAGGCGTGGGGTGGGGGAAGAGGTGCGAGAGTGATGTCTCCCTTCTTTAATCCGATGTTTTTACCCGTTCTGACATACCATAACGAGTAGACTTGCCATCTCGTACGATGAAACGAGTCAACTCGACCTTATTACTCGACCTTATTAGTCGACCTTATTACTCGACCTTATTAGTCGACCTTATTACTCGACCTTCATTAGTCAACCTTATTACTCGACCTTATTAGTCGACCTTAATACTAGATTGCAAAAAGGTACGTCCCAGCTCGATCGATCGCTAAGTCCCTGGTCTGCCACAATCCGTATGCTGAAAGCACTATGTATCTTTTGCTCTAGTGGTTGTTAGGGTTTCGTTTCGTTCCCGTTATTGCGAGAGCGAATGAGGAGGTCGTTGTTCGTCAAACAGGGTCAGCTGCTGTCCTGATTCGTCTGGCTGGCAGACCTGGCGAGATTTTTGGGAGCTCGACACGCCCTGCTGGCATGCCACGCCACCATTGCACGAAACTCGTGTCACCTTGGAATCCGCAAAGCAGGGTAACTTGACATTACGTTCGCATCTGTCGAGATCCACATTTTACAGCTGAATGGGAAGTCGCAATTCGCGAATTCGACCTCGCCAGCGATGTTGGCCTCTCGCAGCCACAAAGAAAATTGCGTAGCAGATCTTGGCAAAAAAAATGGGACTTTAGTTTCAACTCCCACTCTCCTCCCTGCCACTGTTAGTCTCATTCCTAACTTGCTATCTTCATAGTCGTCTGCATTCCAGGTAACATCATTTTTTTACCTGATCTGTCTACAGATATTCTTGCGTTACTCTGGACGCTTAAAACTGCTACTATTTGCGCACAGCTTCTCGCCGCACCACGATGGCAACGGACAGCAAGGGACGCATCATTCGGCTCAGCGTACTCTTGCTGACGTATCTCGCCTATGTTTCTCCAGTCCACGGTGTCCCGTTCGCCGCATCCCAAGGTTTGTCCTTGTAGAATGATGCTAAGCGTTCAGTCGGCCGCGGTGCGGCCCCTGCCTCGACCCCCATCACCAAAAAGGCGCTGTCCCTGAGCTGACCCTAGATTGCCCTGTCTTGGAACCCTAAACTGTCCCCAAAGTATCTTCGGGGTGAGTTCGTGCGATCGAACTGTTTGGGTTGAAACTAAACTTTTTTCAAAATTTAGTCTGTATTATATCTGTCCGAAAATTCCATCGGGTTGACGTGTGATCGGGAGACCCGAGCTCGATCCTAGATTCTGGCTGAGATTACTGTATAGACTTTTTTAGTTGTGGGTCACCTTCGGTTTTGTCTCACATCCATCCCGAAAACGTTTCGAGGGACAGATGTGGGACAGGCCTTTTTAGAGGGGGGCCCTCCCCTCCAATCATTTCCGTATTTTGTTACCCTTACAAATGTCATGTATTATGGAGTCCTAGTGCATTACAGAAAGGGTTCCATGGAAATCTCACACGACGATGGCACCACGATGACGCGGGACGCGTTCTGCCTCGGCGGCCCAGCGCCTCGTCACTGCGATAGTAACAGTTTTCGATTCTGCTGTGTCTTCCGCTACCTAACTTAGGTACTTGAAGTACGTCGTTTGGTCAATCCCATGCCGCTCCAGGTACCAAAACGTCATGCACATGCTACTAGTTTCAGCAGTGACCAATCGTGCCATGGCGGCGGATCGTTATAGCCAAGTCATGGCGCTTCACACATCTGTCCATGATCAACCGCGTGATGCTTAGCAGTTTGACCTGCCAAGTTTCAAGTTTGGAGTTGCAGCAGTGTGCAAATCGTTTCTGTGGAACACAATCTCCTCGTGCAGCCTACCCATCACACCTGTCTTCTCTAAAGATATCTGGTGCAGGGTTTGAGAGAGGGAGCGAAGGCCATACGACGTTGATGAGCTGGCCAATTCATCTCTTCTTCCCTCCCACCCCCTCAGAAGCAGGGCGTATCTCTCCCATGTTTTCTCTATCTTGCTCCAGTTTGGCCCCTCTCATCCCTGCTGCCAGTGCAACTCCTGCTGGCTGGACTTACAGGCAAGCACAGAGGGGAGATATAATGTGTGGGTGGCTTGCTGCCATGGGTGGATGCAGCAATGGCAAGGCGTCGTGGGTCATTAACAACCACGAGTAGTCGTAGTTTATTTACTCGCTGTGCCTAATGGAGCTCAGGACCACTCATTCCCCAACGACACTTGCCTCCTATTTGACCTCCTCTCGTGTTCACACCTTCTATGAATCAGTGATCACGTCATGCCCATGCTCCTGTGCGCATGATGCTTATCGCTTAGCATTTTCAATTTCCGAATCACGGTTTCTGGGTACTTCACCATCACATGTGTTCATTCTGCAATCGTGTGGCACGGCTTATGAGTGTGAAGGGAGAGATGAGAAGGGTGCGACACAACCTTCTATCATTCTCTTGCCCTCCTGCCCCCCTTTCCCCCACCATCTGCCACCAGTCCAAGTCCTGGTGGACTTGCAGCAAGCGTGGGTCCGGAGAATCTCAGGGTGGGTGACTGGGGGGGACTGCAGCTTGGCATACGGTGTGTTCTGCGATGCCCAAGGCATGGTGACCAGCATGTGAGAGCACCAAACTCTAGCTGGTCTTGCATCCCCCATGTGCGCCCCAACTTTTGCTGTCCTCTGTTTCCTCTCTCCACCATTCTGCATGCTCTGTATTTGCACTTTGGCGTGTTAACTCTTGCTGGCCATGCATTCCCTGGACGCCTTTTGTTGTTTTGATTTTGTTCACTTGCAGTCCCTTGCTTCTTGAACCATTCATCCCGGTCCTCCTCTCATCCAAACCCACTATCTGATCTGTTAAACCCTTGGAATGAATCGCCCCGACCATGTCCCTCCACGTGCTTAATTTACAAGATTCAGAAACATACTCCCTTAAAAGTCTGGAATAACCTCGCATCTAATGTTCTAATATTGTTATGTTTTATATAGTTTGAGACTTTGGGATCTATAGAGGGAATGAGAGAGAAGGATAGGGACATGTCTAGTAATTCTATCATGCTCAGGTCAGGGAAATAGTTGACATGGCGAGGGGCATGGCAACAATAGTTGTAACTGCAGCAGGTTTATGCGGGAAAGCAGTTATGTTGGAGTCTGTCAAGGGAGAAGTAGAGACGAGACTTACAATGCCAGTGCCATTTATCAAAAGCAAATGCTCTCCTTTCAAATGTCACCGCAGAACCAAACCGTCCATATGAAAACGCAGAAATGGAAGTCAGACATTTGCAAGCCGTACAAGGTGTTACTTCTGTCTAACCTACATTAATTAACCCCCTCCCTTCTCCGTTTCCCTCCGTTTCCGTTGTGTGGATCATATTGAAAGGCGTTCAGTCCAGAAAAGCGCTACCCTAATGCACCTCTCAGGTTTCCATCATCTCCATGCATGTAGGCACAGGTGGAAAACATGTGGTGGGCTGCACGAACCTCTTCCCAAATAGTACACAAACCACCTTGATGGAGTCACCAATCATTATTGATCCCATTTCCTCATATGATTTATAATGCTCTCCACCCATTCCATTCCACTGCGCACCAGGAATCTGTATGACGATGGCTTAACTGGGTCCATTCCTGATTCCATTAGTGCCTTGGACAGGCTAACCTATCTGTGAGTATGAGTGGTGGGAGCATGCACACATGAGTGTGATCATGTAGAGTCGGGCATATGCAGAGATGAGCCTGAGCAACGCATGAGCAATGGCCTGTAACCAATTCGTGATGAGCAGTGGGTGACCATCATGGTATGATGGCCATCCAGTGGCCAGCTTGTCATGAGCCGAAGGTTGGTCCTGCCAGTTTTTTAGTGCCAGCGATCCTATCCATGAAGTGTAGCCGAGGGGAGCCACAAGCTCGTGTGGCTTGCCTGTTGCCGGCTTGTCAAGAGAGGAATGTCATGAAAAGGAGTTTCTGCATGCACCAATGAGTGTGAGATATGAGAATATATGAGAGTAAGTATGACAGATGAGAGCGTGTATCAGGATATGGCAAGGCTCTCACAATGCATCCAGTCTGCAACACAAATGAGTGATAGACAGTGGACCATTTGAGCCCATAGAGAGAATTTGCACTGGCCATAGGTAGGAGGTATGTGAACTACCAAAGGCCGAACTTGGACTTCCTGGACTCAAAATTCTTCAGCCCGACAAGTGGCCTGTGTAGAGTCCAAGATGTCATTTGCATGGCTGGAAAGTATGTGATGTTAAGCTTTCTAGGCGCATGCTTGACTGGACTCAGTCACGCTGGTTGAACAAAATTCTCCAACACAACTCAACTAACCAGGCTAACCTGAAATCGCCTCTTAAAATATGCAGACCTTCCCACAATCTATGCCCTTTCCATATCCTCTCTGATTGTCTACTACCTTCTACCAATCCTTGGTTCATTTCTTCGTGCTTGAATCTCTCTCTTCCATGTATACACCAAAAAAAATATTGTTAGCAATGCCTTGACTGTGTCTATTCTGCCTATTACCTGTCATTTCTATCCATTGCAGTGATATTAGCCAGAACAACCTCGCTGGCCAACTCCCACCAGCAATTGGCAGTCTCACTCATCTTTCATACCTGTAAGGCATTCTAGCATGTTGAAGTATTGCAACGTCCATCATAGCAACCTAGGAGCATTTCATGAAGAGGAGGCATACAAGGTGTTCCAG